CAGGCCTGCCAGCTGGCGAGGCCTCGGACAGGCCTTTGGAAGTGCTTGGAAGGGTTCTGCTAGGCTTGGCCAACTGCTTCACCCTGCGGTGTCCCAGGCGCCTCCCCGCCTAGGCTTTGGCTATAGGCCGGGGTCGGCGGATATCCTCTCATGGACATTTGCACTCGTTCAAGTAGAATGGTGAATGATGGAGTAGGGGAATGATCTACACATTTTGACAAACTCTAAGGTTTCTTCACAGGAGGCTGATACACTGAGGTTTAAGAAAAAATATCTCACGTCTGAACTTCATACAAGGAGATGCAAGATGATGCAAGTAACAAATCGCACATGAAACTGGACACTTGAAATCAGCATTAATTCCACTCAACGGCGCTTTGCAAGCTGACCTCACCAAACCTTGAAACAGCTTCAAAGACTTCAATTGATGGTTTTGTTATGTTTTGTTCTCGAAAAGATCAAAACAATCACCACACACGTAGCTCTGAGCCACAGAAGTGGCGCCCACTTCCACAGAAGTGGCGCCCTGTCACCCCTTCCCTCATGTCCGACTCATGTCCCATCCACTGCTTGATCTGTTAGACCTGAAATTGACATTGGTCTGACCGCAAAGTTCTTTCCTTTGTACGTGGAAAGGCGGTTCGGGGAGGTGCCGCTGACCCACTGGTCACCCGTTGGTGGCCTCTCATCGGCTCTGGGGTTCTCCTAACAAAGCATCGAAGTGGAGAGCGCGAAAAGAACACACAAAGATATATGCAGTATACAAAGATATATGTTTTTGATACGCGACACCTCACAGACAACTGAGCCAGTACCTGAGCCGTATCATTCCACGATGGGATCTCCTGCGCCGTCCTAGTGACCACTCTCATTTCTCTCCCGTCTCTTGTGTGGGCTGACGGCCTGCTGATTGGCTGCCATTTTCTGCGCAAATGAAGCTGACTCCTTCCAGCCTTGTGAAAAGAGTGTGTCGTTTTCGTCACAGAATGCTGGCCTTTCAATTGTAAAATACGAGGAAATTTCAATTCAAAGTGCAGTGGCGCTGGGAAAGTCCAATCGCATTGGAACTCAGCTGATGGAATGCGGAGTCACCTCAAAGGATACAGTCCCAAAAGCACGTGAATCGGGTTTGAATATGCTCATGAGGAGCTATATGTTCCAATATCGGCAAGTGTTTGTAGAAGATGAGCCGAATGTGCTCCAAGTTTGCGCGACATGAACTTGTAACAACACTGATCACTTGCCAAAAGAACAGCATGCAGTGGTAAACACGTGCAACAAACATGTGTGCAACATACAAAAGGTTGAAAAACAGGCATACTACCAGGTTCTGTGTATTGCTAGACCCGAAGACTAAAGACCCTGTGGGTCACTAACACAGTCAAAACTGTACTCTTCCCAAGAATCCAGGCAGCACGACCCGATGGAGATTTGGCAGGCAGGGAACTTGGGGTTTGGGCCGAAAGACGCAAACACTTCGACAAGGATGGTAGGACTTACGTCCTTTGACCACAACGTCTTGCAAAATGCAAGGGGAACGCACTCTTCGCAAAACTCACAAGAAGGCAACTAGCATTGTTGCAAGGAACATGTAACAGCAAAGGGTTGGGCCCCAATTGTTCCTTTCCTTCTCGTTTGAGCCAAACGCAAATTGCTTGAGAGCTGCACATGCCACGCAGTTGCTGTGGTCTGAACGTGTCGGACATGTTTGAGGTCTGATGACTCTTGACCAGGCGTGGCACACTGTGGGCCCCGAAAACCGAATTCGGAAGATTCATTGTGCATCTTTTTTATACATGTAAAAATAATGCACCTACTACACCTACTAGCAATGGCCTCCAACCTAGAAGCCATGGCCTCCAACCTAGAAGCGATGGCCTCGAACCTAATAGCAATGGCCTCGCTAATAGCTATTCGGAAGATTCATTTCATTTGTTCTCCATTCGCACAAGATGCGGAGAAAAACGCCTTCCGGCATTGAAAACGGGGCCAGTTCGATGAATTTCAGGCAGAGATGAAGCGAGTGAGCGATGACATCAAGGCTCACCTGATCAGTTGAGTGTCGAGATCAGCCTGACCCATTCGTCATGTCGAACCAGCCTGACCCAGAATGGTAATCTCGATGCAGCAGCCGCATCGAAGATCCACATCGGGCTGCAGGACACGAAAGATGACCATCACAAAGAACTTAAAAATGCGAATGATGTCAGTTTGATGACCTTGCATTTTGCTTTTGTTCACCTTGTTTGTCTCTTCTTGCATTTGGGGAACATATTTTTTTTAATTCACTGAGCTGAATTCATGGCTGTTCAGGACTCGCAAGAAAGAGAAGCAGAACAAGAGGCTTTGAGTTAGTGTCATGAGAGCAGTGCAGAACATCCGTTTCTTCATGCTTTCCTGGAAGGTTCCTCGACCTCATCCAGCTTTGTTGCAGGCTAGAACACCATGGCAGTTTGCTGCAGCGGTTCCTTTGCGCAGTTGGCTTCGCAGCCATCAGTGCGCTGCAGTCGAGTAACTAGTAACAAGTGCATCGCTACTAGAAACAAGGGCAGTATGACTAGTAACAAAGAAGATCGCTACGAACGGAGCGATCGGACGCTACGAACGTAGCTCCTGGCCTACTAGTAACAAGAAGCTACTCAGTAGCTTCTAGCTACTCCCTAGCCCTCAAAAGCCTATTTAAACAATAGTCTTTAGATGAAAGACTATTCATGTTAAGATTGAAATGGTCTTTGGCCACTCACAACCATTCACGCTTCATACCTGCACACATGCACACAGAAGGATGTGTTTTCTTTTTCTTAGCGTAGCCAGCATAGTAATCACCGCGTCATAGTGCCTCTTGTCCTTGGCAAGTTCAAATCGCGGATGGATTCAGGTCAAACGCAGCCAAGAAAGCACATCAATCAGGAAATAGCACAAGTTGGTGCAAACAAGGATCCTCTGACGATCAACACGGTATTTCATCGTATAGAGCCTCCGGTTAAGAACATTAAATCACTTCCTTCAAACCAAACTCTTCCTGTGCACAATTGATTGGGAGGCCTCAGCCTTGTGCATTTCAGCAACCATTGATGACGCGTCAGTGGATGTGCACGGGAACAAATGCCTTGGATTTCACTTAAGGTACGTAATGGTGATTGAAGAACGCAATCACAGAGCACACAGTGTAACTGACAGACACACTGTGCACACACATGAACAATTGATGCACGCAAGTTACGTTTCATCCACCTCATATTGTCCTCATCAATGAAGGTGTGAGTAAATCGCGGATTGACTCCTTAGGAAAACCAAGGAATCCAGCGAGAGAGCTCAAGAGAGAGGCGAGAGTCGCAGCCAAACAAAGCAAATCGGACGTCCGCTCTGCAGAAATCGAAGCGCTTGCAGTGGTTCAAGCAAGCTAAGCAACTGAAGCGTTGAATATCGTGACATATATGCGCAAATACCTCATGTTACAATCCGAAACCATGTCAAGCGACACCCGTATTCCTTTGTGAGTTTTACTTGAACTTTCCTTGTTCAATCGTGCGTCAACAAAAAAATACAGCCTTGACACATGGAATTTCGGTGTCATTTCCCATCTCTTTTTGGATAACCTGCCATGACCGGCCAAAAGCAATAGTCTCGTAGATTCAAATATGAGAGATCTTAAGAGCTGGAAGACGGAAAATAAACAAAGTCCACAAGCTCCACAAGTGATCCAGCCTGATGTGGGTCCAGCACAGGGCTTTGTAGACCTCCAGAAACCGCATCCCACAAGTGCACATGGCATCCGCGGTATGCTGCGTCCTTGGATCAAAACAGGTTGGACAGAAGGGACAGAACGGTATTGGGAGTTGGATTTTGGGCATTCAAAGTGAGCTGGTGATTTACCATGCATACCTATCGATCGCACCTAGTCTTTTCTTGGCACCATCATGCGGGCCAGTCACAGAAATCGGCCATGGGCTTCCATCAAATTGAAGAACTTTGCCAATGAGCTCCTTGGCAACGACAGGATTGACCGGGTATGGCCATTCTCAATTTTTTGGACTCGGAACCCCCGACATACATTGCATTGGACCGGATTAAATCAAGTCCAAATATCGCACACGAAGATACCATGACCAACATATCGTTGTCATGGACATCAAGGGCTTGCAGCAGTTCATCCGATAGCCAGCTCAACACGCATCTCCCATTCCAGGCTTTGCAGGTCATGAGATCTTTGCCAGCCTTTTTTTTCGCCTTAATTGGTATGGAGGATCGTGACCACCGTTTATCGATCCATGGTATACGTAAATTTTGTGATCAATCATATCAGAAAGAAGAGATGTCAAAACAACCGCAAGAATGCCAGGCCACCATCCTTACCAAAAATGGTGGCTGGCTTTGCTTGATGCGATTGGCCTTGCAGTACTGAAGGTACTTTGTGTAAGCAACATCCAGCTGGTTTTGTAAATCGCCAGCCCCAAACCACTGAAGGTCCTCGCAAAGTAGGAGCCTGTGGCAAAACCAAACGGGCCACCCCAACCCAGGATTCGTGTGATCGATCAACCTCGAGATTTGTGTGACTTGGTATTGAAACATCTTGGGCCCTGGGAGGGATAGGATGAAACAGCTAGAGCTAGTCAGCTAGATCTCGAAGATTCTGGCAAGTAGCAGTGATCCACCATTCACTCCAAAGAGCAATCCAAGATGCAGCACATGCATCACGCACCACTTGAGACAGCCAACATGAAATCCAGTCAAAGTGAGCAAAGGGCCTTATAGGCAGCAGTGGCTTTCTAGATCTGTCTAGGATTTTAAGCCGAAGTTTGACCCTTCAATGAAAATATCCCGTCAAAGATGACCAAAACTAAATTGGACATCAAGTCTCATAGATGTCGCTCCTTAAGGCGCTGAGAAATGAATTCTGCCAAGGTAAACTCTTGATGAATCCAGTCACAATCAGCGCCGATGGTGTGATACAAGAGTCCATGGTCTCCCTTGTTCTGTGCTGGGCACTTGAAGCATGTGTTAGTCGCCTGCCAGCTGGCGTTGAAACGCCAAACGTCCCTGTGCCACTCCCAGTCACCCCTCAACTCGCAGAGGGCGAATTGCCACCCTGATGATGTGATTGGAGTTCCAGCCCATGCTACATCAGACTCTCTCAAGGGTCGTCCACCTTCTCCAAGTGTAGGGTTTATCCCTGTGAATGCAGCCTCAAAGGACCACACCAATCGTCGCCAGACTGCGTTCAGGGTTCGGTTTTTTACCATCACAGCGTGAGGGCATGAAAACAGAAGGAATCTGCTGTGCCTCGAAGAGATTGGTCGAAAATGTACAATGTTCATCCAAATAGCTACGACCTTCTCAACCTTGTGCTGGGTCCAAAGTCGAGCTGCATCCCCATGAAGTCCCACTGGAATGTGGTTGACTGTGGCCGGGCTTTGCACAGCCCAGCTTTCGCCAACAGTCCGACTATGTTCCCAGAACTGTCGAACTTCCGAGCTTGAGATCTGTAAACCAACAATGTTGAAAAGATACGCCAGAACCCGATGGGGATGAATAATGGGGTAGGATGCCGTGTAAATAGAGTGGGGCTGCTTCAAGCTTTGCACTGGTACTTTGATGGTCTCAATTTCCTGATTCTCAAATCCACAAATGATCACTGCCCTGTGTGCACTTGTATGTGGATGAAATTATCAATACCCGGGGGACCTCTTGGGTTGAGAAAAATTACAAGCGTTGTACAAACTATTAGATTGAAATGAGATTCCACAGGAACATCAATAGCTTGCCAGAAATCACGAACATCATTTCTTCCGGAGCAACCTGCCAATCTTGCCAGAATTGGATGTGTTGTAGTTCCAATATCCTCAGGGAAGAGAATCAAGGTTCGAGTGTCCAGTGTCCAGGGTTGCCGCCCCCAACGCAAGACCAAGGCTCTGATGCAGCGTCACGAATTCGTCTCATCGCCAGATGAATCGAAGAGGCCTTGGGAGCAGGTGGATGATGAATGGAGGAGGGAATGTGAACACCCTGGGATTATAAATTAATTTATTATTTTCAAATTTCATGCATGATGGTGAAAGGAGATCGAGAGCTTGTCAGATTATTGTCTTGGGACTGAAGCCAGCTAGCTGACATGCAAACAAAGGGCCCCTGCACTGATGTCGTCGCAGTGACCTATGAAGGATTTCGGGAAGTCTTCATCACCTGTGCCGGGCTGGGAGTCAAAATGAAAGTGACCTGAGTTCTAGTAGAAGCAGCCTTGCAAATAGTTGATATATTGATCGATGGATCGATCCTTGCAATAGCTGTTGCCATATATTGGGACGATATCGAGCTTGGAATGTTCAAATCGATCGACATCGAGACACAAATCGAAACACGCTTTTTTGATCGATGGGTGCTGTTGTGTTGTCATGACCCTTCCCTCATGAGCCTTTACTCCACCCTGAGAGCTGCATTATACATTCGATATAGGATCAAAAGAGATATCGGCATCAATCATGTATGATGATGTACAAATGTGCTAGATCGACGACACGTGTTGTTTGTAAGGTTGCCCCCATGGATGGAGATACCTAGAAGGCCATCGCTATCAAAATCTAGAATCCACTTGACATGTTCGGCGATATCGCCCACAGTCACACCATTCCTCTGTTGGTTACACAGAGGCCCTAAGGTGCCCAGTGAGCGCTGACATCAACCAGACACATTTTAAATGTCAAGGTTTGATGTTGTAAGCTTTGCAAAAAGAATCGAACTTGTCTCCGACCGTGGTCGCATCGGCAATCAGATCTGGCAGGGCTCCATAATCATCCACCTGGCTCAACTGATGTGGGCCCATGGGAGGGTACATGTGCAGTCGTCTGCTAATTGAAAAGGACATCCCAGTTCATGAATGATATATAATCGATCGATCATGGTACAAACAAAACATTGTCTCAAGGTGTGCATGCATAATCTTCAAATCAATTTGTTGCCGACATCACAGCAGGTTTGCACCTTGGCTTCGTCGATGGCCGCTTGCAGCTTGGACCGGGCTTGTTTCATGGCTATGATGTGGGGCTGGACTTCCTTCTCGATGGCCTTGACAACGTGTTCGCTCCTTTGCAGGGCTGGATGAGATTGGGCCAAATCACTGGTACTTGTGGTTTGGGTATGGGATGATTGAAGTTGGTACGGAATTAAATGTTAACAGAATCGCTCGATCTAACACGACTCCCCATTCGATGCCTCATGCAGTACGCAAAGACTTTCCCGCACAGAAAGGGTCAAACAACAAATTGTTCCGATTTCAAACTGATTCTTGGAGTCTTGGTGCGATTGTGATCGTACCATTGCAGAAGACACGACCCGTCTTCGATTGGTTCAAAAAACAGTACCACCAAAACGCCAGATTATGCATATATATCGATGTCGATCTACGCACTCTGAGGCTGCAAGAGCCAAGAGTCTGCTTTACGAGTTTTTCGTCCAGGCTTGAAGCTTTGTAGATCATGTTGCCCAGCTTGCTGCAAGCCTGTTCGGAAGTAAGCGTGATCGATATGATAGAGTGGATCGATATCCAATATTTTTTTACTTGATGATCATGATATCATCCCTGGTCGATTTGATTTAGTTAATTTCAAGATTGGCGATATTGGAATGTGTTTTTACATGTGCTTCCGTAATGCAATGAAACTCCGACACGTCTGCAGCCTGGTTTCCTTTCCGCTGCTCTTTCTTCAGAGCATCATTCTTGATCTTTTCCTGCCTTCTCTTTTCAGCTTCCTTTTCCTTCTCCAGCTTCTTCCGTTCAAGTTCGGCCTCCTTCTCTTGCTTTTTCTTATCTTCTTCTGCCTTTTTCTTTTTCTCTTCTTCTTCCTTCAAAAGGCGTTTCTTCTTTTCTGCTTCAGTCTCGGCCTTTCCTTCACCACTGGGTTGGATCTTCGGCTGATCCTTCACTTTTTGCTTGCGCCGCTTGTCCTGCGAGGTGGCGGTGTCAGAAGCTCGATCAAAGCATGAAGCGGAGGCAGGGGGCACGGGGTTCAAGTGAACTCCACCGCCAAGCGTTCGAATTTGATTGGTTATAATATTGGATTATTCTTTGCGGAATGGAAAGGAGCTAGATCGATAATCTGTCGACTAGTACATGATATGGCCAAAGCACGACAGAAAAGACAGCCTAGCCTGAACTTCAGCCGACTTTGAACTCTCGGACTTTCCCGCACTAGAAGAGCTGCTGGATGATGAGGGTTTGGAACTTCCCGAACATGATGAGGAAGATGACTTCTTCTTTTTCTTGTTTTTCTTGTCTTTCTTCAGCTTCCTTTTGTCCTTGCCAGTCTTGGTCCCCTTGCTAACCTTCTTATCCTTCTTAGTCCGCGACCTTCCTCGTCCACGACCTTCCTCGTCACCTCCTTTCTCAGCCGCCTCAAACAATGAGCTGGCCACTTCATCCGTCGTGTTTTCTTCGCCTTCACGATCCCAGATGAGATATTGCCGAGATTCCTGCGCCAAGAGCTGAATAATATAATTGTTTTGAAAGCTGATCTCTCCAAATGAGACAACTAACAACTCGATGATTGACATCGTCAGCGGAAATTGGCACACTGAAGCTTCACAAGAAAGACCATTTTCCAAAGAACGCTCCAAAGATCCTAAACCATGATTCGGTAAGAAAAATCATTCCGAGATTCCAACAGCAGGTTAGGATGATGTGAGACTTGTTGTTTTTTGACTTGAGATGCCGATCAAGATCATGGATTGTTGTTTTTCGCACCTTCCCCCCAATCCCACTCAGCTAGATCTGTCCTCCGTCTCCTTTCCATGTAAATCAGGATTCGACCTCACTTGTTGCGACCTGGCTGGCTCTTCCAAATCCAGCTTCGCCTGTATGATTTGAGACGCCAGCTCTTGGGAACCAGTTTTCTGGATGATCTCGGTCTTGGTCATCCACCGGCGACATCCGAAAGTACGGTGACGCCGTTTCATTTTGAGCTGGATCCAAAAATCGCTTTGCCTCCAGACCCCCTCGCACTGAGTCCATTGTTCCATCAATAACTGTAATCGATCCGTGTTCCTGTAAGCTGCAGCGCCTGCAGCCCTTATCTCAGGGGGCGTCTTGGGGCCTCAGATGTGATTAAAATTCCAACGATCATTCCAAAGATAGAAGAACATGACATCGACAGTGACACCCGTGAACAAACAACATGGCACAAGTCATGGCACACATCCCCAGAGGAGGATATAACAGATGTGATCGATACACCATCGCTGACCAAACCCCATCCTCCAGAAAGTTGATAACTGAGGCGCTGGTCAACGATCTAGAGAAGCGCATATACCGCGCGTGGGCTTCTCGTCGAGCCCTGACAACTTCAGCTTTCTTCCTTTCTTCTTCCGAGTCTTCTGACTCTGATTCTTCGGGTTCAGGTGATGAGGCTCGATTCTGTGTCTCCTTTCCCTTCTTCTCTTCCCCCTTGTCTTTCTCCTGGGCCTTCTGTGTCTGGATCTCCTTTGCCTGCGTGATCTTCGCCTTCTCTAGATCCTTTGCCTTCTTCTCTTTCTCCTTCGCCTTCTGTGTCTCCTTCTCCTTCTGTGTCTCCTTCTCCTTCTGTGTCTCCTCCTCCTTCTGTGTCTCAATCTCCTTTGCCTTCTTGCTATCCTTTGCCTTCTTGCTATCCTTTGCCTTCTGTGTCTCGATCTCCTTTGCCTTCTTGTTATCCTTTGCCTTCTGTGTCTCCGCCTTCTGTGTCTCGATCTCCTTTGCCTTCTCGGTCTCCTTTGGCTTCTCTTTCTCTGTTTGTGCATTCGTATCTTCTGTTTCAAGTTCCTCTTCTACCTCGCTCTCCCTTTCCTCTGCCTGCTCTTCAACCTCTGGCAACACTTCTTGCGTCGCTATGGCATGGGCCAGGTCTTGAGTGGAAGACCTTCCAAGGCACTCCCTCACAGCTGTTGCGTGCGGGTCGCTTTCTTGTTTCGGCGGCGCCGCTCTTGCTTTGACAGCTGTGGCAGCAGCAACGTGTGGAGTAGGAGTGAAGCTCACCTTCGAACCTGATTTGGGCTCGTGGGACTCAAGGTCTGAAGCGCTGGGAGACTGCTTGATGGGAGCTGTCATTCGCTTCAGCTTTGATTGTCTTTCATCTCCAGCATCCTCCAAAATCTTCTTTGACTGAATCTCTCTCTTGAGAGCAGGAGGCCTGGCCTGCCGCTCTTCTGAGTTTGGTTGTGTATCTGCCCATGCCCTTGCCTCTGCTGTGCCGGCTGCTGCCATTCGCTTTGCTACTGGTGTCTTGGCAGGGACTGTCGTGGCATCCGAATCTGGCACGACAAGCAAAGATGGGACAGATTCGAAACAATGCGGTCCAGCTGAGAAACCTACTGCAACAGGTTTTCATGAAAACATCGACCTAGCAATCAAGACAGCGAGAGATCGGATGATTACATCACATAACATGTATTAGGCGATGTTTTCACCATGATCGCCTCACAGGAAGATTTGGTGTACTCTATAAACGACATTATGAAACTACACATGTGCGCATCGGGAACTGAATACCTTGCCCTTGACACAGGCTGGAAGAAAAGATAGCCCTGGTTGCCGAACGAGGCCTGCTTCCGGTGGAGTTCTTCTTGGCTTCTTTGCTTCTTTTAAAGCTTCGGTCCTGTCGCATGACCAATGCTGAGCTCACGACCCCAAAAAGGCTCATTGGCAAACCCCATCATGCGATTGAATCAGATAATATTTTCCCGGTTTCCTAATTGTCCGGACTGCGTGCAAGGATTTCCACAAATTCATCAAGAGGTTGGTTTGATTGTAGTTGCGGGCTCCATCACTAGTAGAACTCTGTTCAATCCCTGAAGACATATCAGCCCAGCATCTGATCAGTCCTGCCGGCATCACCTTCCTCATTCTTTTGGCGATTCCGGTCAGCAAGTCTGGCCGCTCTAAGCGCGGCCCGCTCGAGAGGATCACTCATGACCCCCAGGATCTCAGAAGGCCAATAATGGCTGAGGTATCCAATTCCATGATTCATTCGACTCCAATTTCTGATTGATCACTAAAACATTCCACCAAATCGATAGGACCTAAATACAATGGATCATACCACAAAATAATCGATTTGGTGCTGGTTTTGGGGTGATTTTGAGGCATCGGACGTTCACGCCCAAGAATGGCTGTTCACGTCCAAAAACGGTTGTTCACGAAAATTTCACGGTAGTTCACGACTTTTTCACGGTCCATTCACGGTAGCGGCGTCCCTCGACATGGTCAGTTTCTAATGGTTTCTACTTCGATGTCCACCCGAAGATTGCAGGATGTTTGCTCACCCTCAGGCCTATCACAAACCAAATTAGCATCAATTAATTATGTTTGATCTTCAAACAATCAATGTTGATCGACCATGAATAGATGAGTTCCCATTGTGACTATCACCGACTCCTGAGGCATGGGCGAAATGGTTGATTACTCCGAATTAGCGCGTTGTGGGAAGTGGGGCCCACAACATCTAGACATATCTAGACTAATCTAAAATGGTGCTGCTTTGCATGCTGTCAGGCTAATCAAGTCCGACAGTCAACAAGGGGTGATATCTACCGGCATCCCTCTCAGCCACCAGAAAAGCTTGCATCCTTGAAAGGCAAGCGTGTCTCCAGCGGTATGGAGCCTCCCATGGCAATCCAAAGACCAACTGACCCAAAACACATTTTTTTGATTTGATAAGGTCGAATCAGTCCAATTAGGAAGCCTTGATCGACCAACCTGCCTGGGGCACCTTTCTCAACGCAGCTGCATCAAGCTTGCCGCCAGGAGGAAAGAGCGACTCCTGCAAGATCTGGATATTCGAGGCATCATCCTTGGCGATCAGTCATGCGGGTTGCGGGATTGGTTGGCCCGGCTCATCGAGACAAAGGGTTCCAAAAGTATGTGTGCGCTTAGTGGTTCCGGAAGATTGCAAAACCCCTTCATGTCAGTTTTCAACCTCCCAAAATAGGGGCCCTGTTCCATTCCCTTTTGAATCCTTATCCCTGAAAGCAAAACTGCGACCCTACCCACTGGAGTAGCCATGGAACCATCCAAGCCGTGTGGTGCTTGCAGACTGCATGCCCATACATAGCCGGGTAGATCTGGGAGCGCTTCAGTAGCAAAGGGTTTCCGCACCTGGGTTACGACCACAGTGGGATAATTCAAACGATCTTTGGAATCCAACACTTCCCAGTTTTGCTGAGTTTGGCACACCCTTTTTTTTCCAGAAGAGTCTTTGTACTTTTTCACCACAGCTTTGGCTTTCTTAACACGTTTCCGCGTGGCAGGTGTCATTTTCTTATGTAGACGGTAGGACCATGGCCTGGGCCAAGAAAAACTTTGATCGAACATCGATCATCATGCATTATATCATGCTTGAACATCACAAGTTTTGAACGTCTTTCCAGAGATTTCCTGAGTTTCGTGCGCAGACCCGAACACCACTGTTGGCTTGACATTGGCGTGACCGTAGCAAGCCATCGGACTTAGTGGATCGAAGCATAAATTTTATATGGGGCTATCGTAATATGTGCCCAATTCAGTCACGCTACACTCTAACTTCAGTGGTTCACACCTCACTGACCTGAGGTCCCAGCAAACGAACTTCCAACCAGGGGAAAAATACTGAGACCACTTTCATCAGCCATCGGATATAGGGAAAGGCAAGCATGAGCGTACTTCCCGGCTGCTCTATGAGGCAAACCACACACCGAACAAAGCATAGTGTCAAGAGAAGCACCATGCGACATACAATCCTTAGCTGGACAAAACAGCGATAATCATGACATTAACACCATGTCACATGTAGTAGGTCCGAAATCCAAACAAGTTTCTCATTGGCCATTGTAACATAGGACCGGTGGTTTCCTAGCGGCTTGGTCTTGCTTCGCCCAGATGTCCACCGGTTGATGAACACAAAGGACCCACATGGGGGTCCTGCGTGGACGAGCCCGCCCGGTTGCAAGCGCAGGCAAAGTTGAATCGCTTTCAAAAAGCCTTGCCTTGGCACCATGGCGACGATGTTGACAAGCGTTGGTTGGGATGGCGATGGTGGTGGTGGGTATCAATTTGTTTGACATTGCACTAAAATCAAAAGCCAAAGTGCGTCTCACAAATGTCGCCGCTGACACCATGAGTTTCTTTGTCAAAAGGCTTCCTCGGTACGTATCGTAGTTACCAGGAATACCATGGAATACCAGTGAAAATGAAACGATCGAGTAAGGTCTTTGCGAGTTTAGCTCTTCTTTGACTCGGATCAGCAGTGACATCATGAACAATTACAACAGATCAAACACCCACTTGATGAGTGCAAACATTGATGACAGAGAGTTCATCACTTGAGGTACTTACAATGGAACCTGGCAAATTGTTGAGGACCCAGCCGAAGGCACGGTTTACCGCCCCATGACCAGAAAATAGATCGACATTGTGGAGGTCCTCAATTAAACATGCATAGTCATCGCAATCATTGCGGTACTTTGACACCAATGCTAATTCATGACATGAGCTGGGTGGGGCTGTAAGAAATGATCCAAGTTTGCCACTCTTCGGCTCTGGCTTCGAGGGGTGTTCTCCACCACATAGTCGATGCAGTGTAAACTGAGTTGCAAGAAAACAACATGTAACGTGCATCGCTATTTGACACATTCAGTTTTTGTTTTGCGACTCATGGATCCGACCCATGAACCCAACTGGTAGGGACTTAGTGCAAAAATGGAAATCGAAACCAAAGGTCACTTGTTTCACTCGAAGAATGCAAGAGTTTCTCAAACCACAGCGGTGGGTTACCCATTGTTTCATGCCTCCAGGCAGCAAGAGCAGTGGCAGCCCAAGCCGGACAAGGAGCTGGGATTGGCGGGACGTCAACGCCAGGGGCGATGTCGGTGCCATCGAAACCCGACCCCTTCAAATCTAAGCAACACCGATACAAAAGCACTGCGGTCTTCAGAAGTTCACACGTGACTTTGCGTGCATGATGCATGACGCATGAGTCTATAACAAAGAGTTGGGCATTATCAGCAGTGAGGAATTCCGTTTCCCAGGCACAAGGTGCATGTGTCTTGGTGTCCATCGTAGTCAAAATGTGTGTAGTTCACACAATCTACATGTTCTTCGAAAACGAGATCGCATCTAGCCAGGGGCCCCTGACCATTGCTACTTGGTAGACTCTTGGAAACAAGAAACAATCAAGAAGAAGGGATGGAACAGATTGATAAATTAATAATAGGAGGCTGGTTGCTTTCGATAGTCTAGCCAAACTGCATGCAATGGTATCGACCCATGCCCCTCTATGCTAGCTGCTAGGCACTCATTCAAGAAAAGTCCGCCATGAATCTTTTGTAGTTCAAGGCGTGTCATCATGATTTAACATCTCATCACTGTCGGGCTCATTCTCGTCAAAAGATTCCCAGCCAGCAAGACGCTTGGCAATGGGCCACCTAGGCTGCCCAGTCATGAAATTAAGGTGGACAAGGTCTCAATCTCAAAACATGTAGCAGCTATTTTATTTTTAATCGAGTTGCGCGGCAAGGGCTCCCCAAAATTTTGCCCATGAAAGAGAAACTCCCCTGCGAACGTTCACCTCAGATGAGCAATATTATATAACCAATCTATGATAATCTATGGATCGATCGATACGAGAGAGAGACAGAGAGTTGTCCGTGGGATCGATCTATAATATCAAACATCGGAATATCATCGATCAAGCCATGTTGCATTGAGGGATAATTTCATGGCCTGATTGACTTTGCTGATCCGGGTCGTGTTGGCGCCGTTGGCAAAGTATGAGCGGGTGTGCAACCTCGCAACAACACAGGGTTTGAAACCCAAAGGACCCCATAAATGTCATGATGGCTATCTTTCGAATTCAACAAGATTTATTGCCAATGACAATTAATTTATATCGATTTCCAGGGACCAGGCATGATCCCAATTGTTCCCACTTCGCCAGGAACCATGTCTCTCCCTTCTGTTGGGGGCTTCAAGGTGAAGCTCCTAAGTTTGAGCATGTTTTGTTAATGTTCAGAATCTTCAGAATCAAGATCTAGGCTATAGTATCTTGACCAAACTCATGAAACATGATGCAGGCATACTGCACTCTTTTTTGGGAACCTGAGACCCAGTCTTGAAAGGGATGACAGTATCCTGCTTGTACTGCTTTGCCACCGCGAGTGCGTGAACCTCCGGAGGCAAGATGAACAGGGAGTCGGACTTGGCCACCTGGTAGATCTCGAGGAGCGATTGGGCCTGGGCCATGGCTAGGAAGATTTAGTTGGAAGTTGAGGGTCTCAGATCTTGCATGTATGATCAGGGCATCTCCATAATTTTCGAACAATGATTGAGATCATTTCAGAATTGCGGGACTTTTGATCCTTAACTGGGTCAATAAGATGGCTATGGAAATTGAGAGAACATACCTATGCGTGCTGCGCGCTGGACATCCCACTATGATTTGCTTTTTCCTAATCCAATAGGCCCAATAAGATTGAACAATCCCAAAATTACTCTTCTTTACAAATCAACCCGCGTGATATCTTCACCTGATCGATCATGTACACCAAGCGGCCATCATCTCTTGCTCTCGAACTTCTTTGTCTTTGTTCTTCTCATCTTCACCTTCCTTCTCAGCTTCTTTGAAGTCGAGTTTCTTCTTGACTGGGTCATTTCTCTTTCTGACCGCACGGGCAGCAGCTCGGCTGGCTTCCTTGAAAGGGCTGCTCTTCTTTGGGGTCTCCTGCTTCCTTTCCACCTCATGTTCTGCCTTCTCCCGCGACTTCTTGGTGGACACTTTGGCCTTTTTGGACTTGTCCCCTTCCGATCCTGCAGTCTTTTCTGCTTCCGCCTGTGACTTCTCTGGGGAACGGGTCCTCTTGGTCTTGATATCTTCACCACGATCTTCAACCTTCGAGGGGCTGTCGACATCCTCCTCCGAAAACAAACCTTGTTGGTTGTCAGGGGACTCCTTATTGGGTGGAGCCTCCTTGGCAGCGGCGGAGGTCTTGGTCTTTGGTGTTCTTTTCTTTCTTGGCTGAGCGTCTTCGCTGACTTGTCTTTTTTTCTTTGCATCAGCAACCTCTTGATCTTTGCCATCCCCCTCAGCGTCCTTCACTTCACAATCCTCTCCTTTCTCCTCTGCAGGGCCTGCTTGTTGGTCAGAGCCCGCATCTTTGGCATTATTTTTTCTTCGCTTCGGTGGTTCTTCTTCATGGGCCTTCTCCTCATCCTCCGGCTTCTTATCTTCTTTCCTCCCTCTACCACGTCCGCGCCCACGCCCACGTCCACGGCCTCTCTTTGTTTTTCTTCAGACTCTTCTTCTGCGGCCATGAGCTCCCTGTCCTCATCTTCGACTTCATCGTCGGCCTCACCCTCTCGGAGAGTCTGACGCATTTTCTTTTGCGCCGCTAGGATGTCTTCTTTGTTGCTATTCTTGGTTTCAGCCATGATGCGGTCGCATTTTTCTTCATTTGCTTTGTTCATGTACTTCTGGCCCTTCACCGTTGGGTTGCCAGTGGCATCTTGAAATGCTCCACCCTCCATGTTTTCATCACTATCAAGCAGCACAGTGGTTTCCGCAACCTCTTCCTTCGGGGTCTGGACAGCCTGGGTCTCAGCAGCCTCCTTGGGGGTCTGGACAGCCTCCTGGGTCTCGATCTCAGCAGCCTCCTTGGGGGCCTGGACAGCCTCCACAGCCTCCTGGGTCTCGATCTCAGCAGCCTCCTTGGGGGTCTGGACAGCAGCCTCCTTGGCGGTCTGCGCAGCCTCCTTGGGGGTCTGGACAGCCTCCTTGCCGGTCTGGACGGTCTCGATCTCAGCATCCTCTTCATCCTCTTGGGTCTCAGCAGCCTCCTGGGTGGGGATAGCCTCATTGGTGGAGGGGTTCTGAACCTCCTCCTGACCAGAAGTCACCGGGTCACGTAGTACTAGAACCGGGTGTCCATCAATTTCATCCACAATCTTCCACTTCTTGAGAAACTCTTTGGTGGGCGTCTCCATCAGGCCTGTGGCGTGATCAGGCATGTACTCGAGGGTCTCGGATTCATCTGGGTTCGGGGGTCTCGCGGTAGGTGGGGCTTCATTCTCCTCCTTCTCTTCTTCATTCTCCTCCTTCTCTTCTTCATTCTCCTCCTTCTCTTCTTCATTCTCGCTGTTTACCTCTTCCTCAGCTTCGCCTTTCTTCTCATCACCCAGGTCCTGGCCGATATCGACATTAGAATCGAAAGAAGGCTTTTTTTGGCACATAGATCGTCGATAAATCATATCAATTAGGGTCGTTGCAGCAGAAGGTGATGATTCAGTGGTGATGGATGAACATGGATTCCAACATTATTTTCAGTGGATCGATGCGAGCCCAAAGGTTCCTTGCTTGATGAGCTTCTTCCACGGGTTGCCACCTTCCTTCCCTCCGGAGTGAGCAAGCCTGCGGCCTGCCACGCATATTTGTTGACGAATGCTGGACTACTGTAATTGCACCAAAAATTGAAAGGAAGCCCTGCTTTGTCAATTAAGACATGACTTCACATGTAAAAAGGATCAAATAGTGGGTCAAAAAATGTCAAAAACATTTGATTTAAAAGATCATCGTCATTAGTTGTCAAGCCTTGAGTTTTTGGTGGATGACGTTCTTGATGCGCTGCATACCCTCATGCGCACGTCCTGGCCTAAGTTTCGAGGGGGTAGCAAGTAAAATAAGAAGACTCAACATGGACCAATGAGCCGATATACCATACAGAACAAATTCAACATCAGACTCAGGGAAACACCTGGCAGTTGGTGCCTTTTGGAAACGTAGCATGCAATAGGACGCAAAGCCCCGTTGCACGCCCGATTCAATAGAAGCCCACGCCTAAGGGAACTGTGCTGAACATGGCATCCAGCAGTTCATGATAAGCAGGTGACAGGTCATGAAGTCAGAAGTTGCTATGTTGAGCAAACTTCAATAAAAATCCCAACTAAGATGGCTACCTCATGCTCTGCCTCTGTTCGGAGATGTGGATTCAGTGCATATGTTTGGCTGATCCAAACCAGAGCCGCCTGGCCACCAACGGTTGCGGATCGATCCGTGAATGATGCAAGATGCATCATGTAGGTCTCGACAGATCTATCGTATACATGCATGATTAACATGATTCATGTGGCAAAGCGCATTAGTTGATGAATGCACCATTGAACAAATTGTGTGGTCCTCCACTTCCGTATCGGCCGGGAGCTTTTCAGCAAACTGCGCCAAGTACTCTTCCAAGAAATCGACATTTTCCTGTTGCTGGACCTAGGCTTGTATGATCTGTTACTCCTAGTGCTAGCGGTGCTAGTCAGTGTCAAAGCTGCTGTGCATGTGGTACACAGTTGGACATCACAAGTGCTTGTGAGCCACTTCGTTCTCAACGACTTTGCTTCCTTGAGCAAAGCGGGTTACAAACGAAAAAGGGATCACCTGAGCTCTGAATGAACGATCATTCGCAAAGATGCAAACATTGAAAATGGATCGAAATTTACATGCACCAGAAATGAACATTCGATCATTGCCAAAGTACAGATCGATCCTTCTCTCGAACACCCGCACGTTTTCGCAAGAGTGCCCTGCGATTGGGGATGTAATCCTTCTGGTCCAACAAGTCGCTATAGAAGGCCTTGCCAACAATCACATGATGGCATAGTTCGAACTAGATACTCGATACGATACACGTGTCACAAACTCAATCCCAGTGTGTTCCAACCAACCCTTGCCACCTTCAGGAGCTCAATGCGATCTGCGCTGGTGACCGCTGGTTCCGCCATTGCAGAAAAGTCAGCTGATACCGGTGGCTGCATGTGGTTCTTGTTTCTTGTTTTTCCCTATGGGGTGATGGGTGATTATAGTGTGGGTTTTGAAGCTTGGTGTCCAAGACATTGAGCACCGTTCGAACTATAGATCAATTGATCCACCACACAAATCGCATCAAATCGTTCAGAAAATGCATCCAGTCATGCTCACACCTCTTCCAGCTAGCAGTTAGTTGAACAAACACGGGACAGCAAGAGGTGCACGCCTCCTGTCTCCACCGGCAGTACTGGGTGATCATTGGCTATGTTCAAATCCTCTGCCAATCCTGAGGTTGGCTGGTAGGGAAAACTGAGTTGAACAGTTGTATGATTTGCCATAATCATCAAATCAAAGCGCTTGGTCAAGTGCAACTATGCCCCCTACTTCTTTTGAGGGCCTTCTTGATCCTCATCACATGTTGCCTGAGCTGGGGTGCGTAAAACAATTTAAACTGAATTTCCACATTGGTGCATATATCAGGCAGCACTGCTGATGTTCAGGAAATGCAGCCCAAGGTACGTGATTCCCTGACGGCTGGATGGTCTCGTCCATGTCAGCGCAACGGTCGGGTGCTGGGATGTCAAAATTGATAAAATGGGTGGATTCTTCAGAGGATCTCAATGGTCAGACTATCTTGTCAGTGTTTACATCATTCTCTGATCCCGGGAAAGTTCTTGAATCAAGTTGGGATGATTCATTGATAAGGGCAGAACTGAGCCACAAAGATCATAGTCTGGATCAGGCCAGAATCCTCTTGTTGCCAAAAATGGTCTCACCCCGCTGGGCTATTGTTAAAATGGTCTTTGACACCCAGGGTACTAGTAGCGATTGTTTCGAGGAGCAGAGTGGCAAATTGTCCAAAGAGTCGAAGAAGACCGCACGACATGCCTCGCATGCCTCGCATGCCGCCTCCAAGGCACTGGGCGGATCAGATATGGAAAACAAAGCATGTCTTATTGGCTGTTTCGAATAGCTTTTTGTTACTACTAGTAAGGCACCTGTTACTACTAGCGTGGCACCTGTTACTACTTGCGGAATATTAGCAAGTCATACATGAACATGTGCGAGTTCTTGTTGAGTTGAGTTGCCTTGGAGTGCATCATGTTTGTTACACAGGAACGGTGTTGAAGGTAGAGGCCTCTACATAGGCCATACGAGGAGGACGTTAGCGCTGCCCAGGACGTGGCAAAGGGCCATGCTGTCAAGAGCCGTGAAAATGCTCTCAAGAAGCACAAGGAGCGGAGTGAGGCAAGTAGAGCGAACACAGTGAGTGGGGCAGACCGTCACACACACCGTCACGACACCACAGCAGAATGGGCTTCTTGGATGTTGGAATACCTTGCTGCTTGCAAGAGCACATCTCTTGCGATCCCTTGCTCCTTTTTGTAAGCCCGATCTTGCCCTTGTCACAACGTCATGTCCAGTTTGCATCAAACCGGCCTTTGGCAACTTTGGACAAGAGCAGTACTATATTGTTTTTTTTGCCTGAGGTGCTTCGTGGGTGTGGAATGGCATGTCCAATGTACAACACATTGTGCTTGCGCATTGAAGACCCAAGACCAACATCAAAATTAGTGCCCATTCGAGTGCTAAGAACAAACCGGCAAGACCCGTTGTAAAAAGGCCAAGACCGGCCTTGTTGTGGCTGGGTGTTTGCAAAAAGAATGTTATTGTCAAGACATGCAGAGGCTATGGTTAGCTGTGGCTTGAGCCAGCTTTCAAGCTTACGTTTGTGACTGCGCCACTGGCCACCTCTTGTGAGCCCTGCGGAGGCTTGCTTCATTGGCAATAGGAGGCCATTGCTACAAGTAACAAGAAGCCACTAGTAACAAAGGGCATCGCTACCAGGAGCAAGGACGCTACAAACGTAGCTCCTGGCCATACTACTGGTAACAAGAAGCTTCTAGGTTGGAGGCCATTGCTATTAGGTTGGAGGCTTCGTGTGATGAGCTTCGTGGAGCTCCATGACGTGTGATCCTCGTGGCAACCAATGGCGGCAGACCTGTGGCGTCGACACGTGGCAACTGATGGTTTCAAGGTAGTAGCTTCTTGTTACTACTAGTAAGGCACTTGTTACTAGAAGCGATGCACTTGTTACTAGTAGCTTCTTGTTACTACTAGTAAGGCACTTGTTACTAGAAGCGATGCACTTGTTACTAGTAGCTTCTTGTTACTAGTACCGATGCCCTTGTTCCTAGTAGCTTCTTGTTACTAGTCCAGCAGCCCCGAACGTAGCATCCTTGCTCCGTTCGTAGCGATGCCCGTGTTCTCAAGAATGAGAAAGTTCAAGGGAGACCTGTGGAGATTTGCTTTCTCGCACTTTGCATTGCTTTGTTAGATGTCTGGTTGTTTTTTTGTTGATTCCTCCTTGCAACGACCTCTCTTTTTAGTAGCAGAACAGGAGTCGTTTTGGAGACTCCATGTTCTTTTCGTTCTTTCCTTTCCTTCCTTTCTTTGCTTCTTTTCTTCCTTCACTCTTCTATTTCATGCGTTCTTTCTCTTTGCAGGCTGACACCTGTGCCCAGAGAACTTGATGAACGCCATTTTCCGCTTTTGGGTTGCCTCTTTCCAGTGTTGGATGCTGGATGCAGATGTGGAAGCCAGCTCGTTGAGAGCGCAGCACTGGCCCTCGGCCTCCTGCCCCAACAAAACCCGACCTAAATGGAAGAACCACTGACCATTCACAACATCCAATGAGACCTGCATCAAGCTCAGACGCTTGCATCGTCCTTTTACAGCCTACTCCGTCGTCTGCCCGTTGGATCGAAGCGGCAAGGAGAAGGCTAAAACGAAGTCTGGGACTCGAAATATGTTCTTCCAGGACCCAAAAGCGTGTTGAGATGAAGAAAGGAAGAAAAGAAACCACAAACATGACGGTATAAAGGTATGATGGAAAAGAAGAAATGGGAACATCAATTATAATTTATAGACGTTTTTAAAGAACACAGAAACGAATTGTTCTTTTCTTGTCAAATAGAGTTCGTTGGTCCCATCGAGTTCGGGCTAGTGAAGTCAAAAAGGAGACGCACAAAAGTAGGAGAGACATGAATAAGTATTATAGAGCTGCTTCTTTTATTTGATTTCGTTGAATTTCTTTTGTTTGAGCACATCAAGTCGGATGCGGCTAAGAACTAAGGAAGGCAGTTCTTTTCTTCGCGCTTCAGAAACCAGCGCCAGGACGTGGCAAAGAGCCATGAGAAGTTAGACCATGCTCTTAAGAGCTACAAGGATGTGGCTGACAAGGAGTGTTTCTGAGAACTGATGTCGAACGACATGTGATAGTCATGCAAGAACGCGTTCGTTCGGTTTAACTACCCATTGGAAGGCATTCGATCCGACATGCCAAACACCGCTTACCAATACTTACAAGAGCGGTGTTTGATGCAACCATGTCGCTTTTTTCCATGTTTTTCTTCCATTTGCTCAAATGACCATGGCCTGATTGCAGAGATTGAGGAGCAGCAGCGTGCTACTGAAGTCTACGAGAAACTAGGTCTTGAGACCAAGTCACTTCAATTGGACTTGAATTCTCCAAGTGACTGGGTCGTCCCCAAGTTTCCAACGATTAGGCGCCCAGCAGCCTAGCTTCAGCTAAAGTCATGAAGCTTGAAACCTGTTCAACTCTGTGCTCTTTTGTGAGAAGGGAAGGATCTAAGGATGAAGGAAAGAAGAAAGGGAAAAAAAAACCATGGCCTCAAGGTCTGAAGAAATGGAAGAAGCGCAAACGACACAGGCAAAAAGAATGGGTCTAAAGGATTGCCTCCAACCTAAGAGCGATGGCCTCCAACCTAAAGAAAGCAAGGTCCAAAGGATTACAACTTCTCTGGATCTTATTGAAGTCGGACAAGAAGGAAACACACAGGTGCGACGACTTCAGGTGCTTACAAGAGCTCCATTGCCAAGCTCAGAAGCCCCCTTCAGCAGATCACCTCCCAGGCTGCGAGAACGAGACGTCTTTTTGGCTTCGATTCAACCAACTTAGAGGCAGCTTTCGCTCGTAAGATTGAACACAGCTTACTGTTCTAAGTGACTCTACTGTTCGAGTCAAGGCTTGAACACGGTCGTTCGGTTTTTCCCTTGTCCTTGGGACCTGTGGACCGTTCTCTTTGTGTCTTCCTTTCCGCCCTCTTCCTTTTCTTCGAAAAGATTCTTGGATGTTCATTTCCTTTTGATACCAAAGCCAGAGAGTCTTATGTAGTCCCACTTTGCCCGTGAATTCTTGCTCGAGAGGTACAGTAACGAGGCATCGGCTAGAGGCCCCCCTAAGGTGATGATAAAGGGCCACTCACCAGTGCCTTTCTTTTGTTGCTGTGCTTAGTTGAGGTCTTGGGCCACATTTTGAAGTCTGGCAGGCAAAGTAGCAAGCAGCAGTAGCAGGAGGGAGCACACAAAGCCCAGACACACAGCTGACTTAGTATTATAGCCTTTGCAAACTGTAAAGAAACCATCGTAAGCGTTCGCCTATTTGCACGCGTCCTTGTAAGCAGCAAGGCTTTGGCACTGACCATGAATAGTAGCGGCAGCGTTCCTGCAGATAGGAAGCATTGAAGACTTTAAGTATCAAAGCAGCGGCATTGTAAAGAAGAAGCTACTAGTAGCTCCTGGAAGCTACTAGTAAGCAACCTTGTTAACTTTGCACTTGAGCAGCATACTCCAAACCTGGTTTGGCCCCGTTTCCTTCGCAAAGAAACGCGGCCACTGTGGGACCATTCGATGACTGAAACTTCAAAGAGGTGAAAGAACTTCACACGAAGATGGCGAAGGTCTTGCAGGCGAGCAAAACGCGCAGTTGGAGCCAGGTTTTGGATTCAAACGTCAGCATCTGGATAACTTGAAGCCAATTTTTTGTTCTTGTTGTGCATTTCATTTCACCACTTGTGAGTTGTCGACCTTTGGTTTTTGGGTATGAACTTGGAGTGAGGGAGCTTACATGCAAGAGGCTGCAGCATCACTGTGAGGATAAAAACTGCCACGAAGTCGACTGTGTCGCCACCGGCAGCCACCGGGGCTTCTCAGGCGGATGAGAAGGAACGCCTGGAGCCGTTGAATAGCACGCGCCTGAGCTTGGTGCGATTTGGTGTGGAGTTTTAGGCAATACTGGCAATTTGGCGAGAATGAAGATGCTTTTACCAGTTCCTGTCTTTGCCGTCAAGCCAAAAACACTAAACGTGTTAAGTTGCCGTAGACATGGAATTATTCAAAGCATGTCGTTAATAAGAAACACTCTTGTAGGGAATTCATACTTCCAGATATGGGGCCTTTGATATTCTTGTTCAGAGATATGTGCTTCAAATTCCTGGCCAGAGCCATAAGTGTTCTTCTCAGCGTAAAGACATGTCCTTGTTGGAAAGACGACCCCTTCTGCTGTTACTACCGATTCGCAGAAGGCATTCTTGGCTACCTGATATGCTACTGAAAAAGAATACCATGATCTTGAGGTTTTAGCACAGAGCTTCTAAACTTCTGAAGAATTTGTTCTTTTTGGCTGTTCTTTGCACTAATGCCGTTCTTCGTAGTTAAGATGACATCGTTTCAGTCTGCACAAAGCCCACGCATTCCTGTATCTAGCAGCTCTAGCATGTTCGTCGCATCCTTAGTTCTCACATGGTTTGGTGCGGTCACCGGGAGGCCTAGAAGCAGAACTTGTAGCCTCCTTAGTCCTTGCAGCCGATCTGGCTGGACTTTTGAGAGGCAAAAGGTAGAAAAGAACAGGTTTGTCTTAAACGTATTGCTCTTTCCATGAAAAGTGAAGCACAGTCAATTGTTCCTGCCGTCTTATTCAGAGAGTGGAAACTTTGTTTTGTTTTCAATTGGCTGAGGGAAATGGCAAAACATGAGCTGATTCGCTGAGGGGCTGCTTGTTTTGTCACTGTGACAGGTGACAGACCGTTTCCACCAGAAAGAAGAAAAGCCGCGGAAGTTCTTCAGGGATATGTGGCAACATGATGCAACATGCATGATTGGGATGTGTTCAATTGTTTCGCAAGGCAAGACCCGAAGTTCCAAAGTAATCACGTGAATTGAAAAGGAAAGATATCAGAAAATCATCATGTGGCTGTTCAAGTCCGATGGTGTTCTTCGGATCCTGAGCCATCCCTTTTTGCTTCTTTCGGCTCCTTTTGGCTCCTTTTGGCTCGAGGTAGTATGGCGTCTCACGCGATCTCCTCCAAATGGCTTCTGCCGTAAAGACCGTGAGGAATGGCGAAATCGATGGCCCGTGCCAAGTGGAACAACTGCCCTGCCATGAGCCCTTTGAGCCCAAAGAACCTCGAGAACCACCTCGAAGTTCTGCGCTGCGGGGGCTTCTCTATCAAAGGGAGAGGTGGGAGGTTTTCCGTCGCACACAATGGATCAACTGTATGGCCACTGCATGGCCATTGTACTCCATTTGGTCGGAAAGAGAACCATGCACCATGATGAGTTGATTTTCGCAGCAGCGATGGAAGGCCTGCGAGAGACAGTAAAGTTCATTGGGATGAAGAGTGCATTGCCGAGCATGACAAGGCCGGTCATTCTAAGTCCACCCTAGCGATGGCCTCCAACCTAGCCAGGGTCATCTAAGTGCACAAGTGACGCACTCGTTTTGTGGCCAGGAGCGTGGCACACGTCAAAAGATTGACGAGACAAGCCCCAAGTGTGCCTTTTTAAGAGGTTGTAGACGTCGGGTTTTAGGGTCGGTGATTGTGTGATACGTAAAGGTTTTGTTACTAGTAGTAAGGCACTTGTTCCTAGTAGTAAGGCCCTTGCTCCTAGTAGCATTAATATTGTCTATATTCATTCTTTCTTTCGTATATTATATTTCTTTCAACATAAAGGTTTTGACTTTTGAGAGTCGGTAGTGTTGGAAGGCTTGTTGGCAAGTTCCGAGGCCGGATACTCCTTTCGTGCGAAGCCCGCAAGAGTCTGACGATGAGGCGTGAAATGTCGGGAGGAAAGCTCTGGAAAAGCGGATTTCCTACCATTGGCCTTTTGGTTTCAATGACAGGTCTTGGACTTCATTTACGTTTTAGGCCATCACAAATAAGGTTGGAGGCCATCGCTCTTAGGGCGGATGCCATCGCGACTAGGTTGGAGGCCAGCAGGATTTGTTCGCTTGAAGACTCTTTGTACCAAGGCCACAATGCCAAAGAGGAATGAACTGTAGCCACGTTCCTTCCCTAATTGAGCCTATTGGGATTCCGGGGTCGTGTTCTTTTTTCCAGTCTTACCGGTCCTCTTCACGCCTGAAGGCGCAGGAGAGCGCCAGTCGAGCTCAGCCAATCAGGTGCCCTGACCCACCCTGAATCGACCAGTGGACCCAGAACGTTGATGAACGTTGGTGATTCTAAGAGAAGCTAGGGCTAGAACCTGTGATACAAATGGATGATGCACATGGTGATAATGGATGATCCCTTGAGTTGTTGCATGTCTCTCCAATGCCGTCGTGCAGTCGTGCGGGAGCTTGCAGGCACGTCAAGGTAGCATCTCAGGTTGGCTCCTCAGGGATCTTCTCGATCTCAGCAATTTGACCCTCGTGCATTGCTACTAGGAGCCAAGGGCATCGAAACTAGTAACAAGATGTAACAAGAAGCTATTGGCAATTAGAGTCCTTGCTCCTAGTAGCGATGCCCTTGTTACTAGTAGCGATGCCAGGAGCTACTAGCAGCGTCCTTGCTAAAGCTGTGGCTGAGCGGTGTCTAACCTAATCTAATCGAGCTGCTCTGAAAACATCTGAAAACGCACAGCGTCCGCACCTATCAGCGAAAGTTGGGATGCCAGTCTCTCAAAAATGGTGCCGCTTTCAGTGAACATGACGTGGCTCTCGTTTGGGGTGCCGAGCGCACCGTCAACGAAAACCGGAAAACTTTCTACAACGAAGAAAGCAGGCACACAGACGCCTGGCACATACGCACTCTGGAGTTCAAGACGCTTGGGAGGCGTTCCACTGTTACTGTTTGGACGATCTTCAGACAAGCCGCCTTTGCATGTCCCGAGCCCTCCAGAGTGCGCTGGTGTTGCGCTTGACTTGCCTGGGGCCTGGACGCTACGAACGGAACAAGGACGCTACGTTCGGGGCTCCTGGCCTTACTACTAGGAGCAAGAAGCTACTAGGAACAAAGAGCTGGCCACTGCTTATGTCCAGCACCTTGCATGTAGCAAGCACACATGGTAGCACGCACACTGGAAAAATTGCCTTCGTCGCGTGCTAGCAACGCTTTCGGACATGTTTGTTGTTCTTTAGTCTAAACCCCTGTAAGTCAAGCACAGTTTACAAGCAGAAAAGTTCCAACTTTTATTCACTGTTTGTGAACATGCAAAAATCACAACTGTAAGACTCTGGGTCTGAGGCGGCTGAAGATGATGAAGAAAGGAGCACTCCGAAACACAACAGCCTTTTGAGTCTTTGAGGTGCTTGGAATACAGGCAACTTGAAACACTCCGAAACTGTCAGGAGAACGATGTCCCCGCTGTCGCCAGATGGAATGGCGCCCAAACTCAATCATTTCATGACTGTCCTTTTGAGAGACGGACCTGGAAACAATGTCATCCATGGTCAGTCAAACCGGATGCACAACAAAATGACTTGTTTGCTATACAGGACTGTATGAAGAGTGATAGTGACTTGCTGTTTTGCTCCCAGGCGCTGTTGACAGACAAATTGAATCGTGGATTGCAATTCGATGTCCACGAAGGCACATTGGCTACATGTGTTGTTTTGTCAGTTGCAAGAACATATTGTTGCTGGAGTGCTTACCTACAGAAACCATTTCTAAAAGGAAGGTCTGAATCCTTCAGTGCCGAGTGCCTTTATGTTAGTTTATTAGTGTTTATCCTCAGGTCTGTTGTGGATGCGAAGATTGACATTTGAGTCCTTTTTCTCACTGGTCTAAGCTTGGGTAGTTGAACAAAACTGCGTGAAGCCTCGAGCCCTAACCCGCGCTGGTCGGGTCACCGCGGGGCGGTGGCGGTTCTTCTTCCCCCCTTTGTTAACTAGTAGCGATGCCCTTTGTTTCTAATAGCTTCTTGTTACTACTAGTAAGGCACTTGTTACTACTAGCGATGCACTTGTTAACTAGTAGCTTCTTGTTCGTAGTAGTGAGGCCAGGAGCCCCTAGTAGCCTCTTGTTCGCAGTAAGAGGGCTCCGTTCATAGCGATGCCCGGAGCCCCGTACTGATCGCTCCTGATCGCTTCTGATCGCTCCTAGTAAGGCCCGTGTGGCGCCCCCGTTCGGGTTCGATTGCCGCGATGCCCGTCCTTTCCGAAGGCGAAGAAGATCTCCCATCGAAGGATGACTGGAGGCGCTTCGCCGCCGCGCTTCGCCGTGGCGATGCGAAGAGAATGGGACAGTCCAAGGGGTCGAGGATGGTAGTGGCTATCAGCCTGAACGACAGAGAAAGGTCTACATGTCAGCTATATTAGATATAGGTCTAAAGATGAAACAATAAGGCCCCTGTAACAGTTCAGCTTGAAAAAGAATGTAACAGAATGTGTGTTTGAGCAGTATTGGAATCTCGGGTCAAACGGAAATGTGCAAAGACACAAAAAAGCACGGCAACACTGGCACCTCCACAGCCCGATGTGCTTTGTTTGGATTAGCAGTTTCTGAAGCTGCTTTCACGCGACTCTTAAGCACATTTGGTTTGGCTGAACACAAGTTTCAGTGGCACTGCCCTGAGGTCTAAGCGGAACGCGCACTACCGTGATATGGCAGCGGCCTTCCGTAATGCGCCTTCGGAAGTGTGCGCCTCAAAGTTACAACCTTTTTGCAAATCAGCGTGAGAGGTATGTAAACATGGTTGCTCACCTCGTTTCTTGGAACCTGTTTGGGAAAGTACATTTTGAGCAGGTCATATCTTCAAAAGCCAAGCCGTTTTGTTGTATCAAAATGTCTTAATTGGCCAGAGGCTTGTGTGGCAGACATTTCAGCAGTGAGCCGACACACGTTTATATATAGCGCAATATTACTGTTACATGAATAAGATATTCTGCCAATGTCCTTCTAAAAGGCTACAATGCTAGGGGACGTGGCGGGAATGTTTGAATCAGCCATAAATAGAATGCCTGCAAAAAGTCTTTGACAAGAGCCTGGTCTACTTAGTGTGTTTATTGGAATTGCCACTTCTCCCTGCCAATCCTTTCGTTGCCTTTCCTTTGTTCCCATCCTGCTTGTTTCCTTCCCCTTTTCTTCCTTGACTTGCATCTCTACCCGACCCGACCCCCTGCCTTTTCCTGTTCCCTTCCTTTTCATAAGCTCCTGGACATTTTGTTGGTTGCGAGGCACTCTAAGTCTACACTTTCCTTTGCCATGTTCGTTTTTGGGTAGCGGCATTCCAAGTGTGACTTCTTCCCTTACATTCTGGTGGGTTATTTCCTTCTCGTACCCTACATTTGTCTTCGTTTCCTTTCCTTTATTCATGTCCTGCTCATTTCCTTGCCCTGTTCTTTCCATTTTCTTCCTTGACTCGCCCTTCTGTCTCTTGCCTTTGTTGCTTTCCTCCCCTTTCATGAGACCTCTTGACACTATGTTTGCTGTAATGCTTCAATAAGTCAGACTGCCAAATTCGCCCAAACGCTCCTGGAGAGTGGTGGCATTCAAAGTGCAACCTTTTCTCGCCATGAGTATGTTTGTTCCGTTCTTCGGCTTCCTTCTCCTTTCCTTTCCCTTCCTTCTTGCCCAACTTGCCCATTTCCCTTCCCGCTTCTTCCCCCTTCTCCCTTACTTGACGCCCTGTTTATGTCCTACCTACCTCCTCTGGTGCGTATGTTCTTTCCCGTGTCCTTCCTTCTTTTTTCTGGCCGGCCTATACATAGATGGAATATGAATGAGTATGACTGCCCAACTCAACTTTGTAATGTAGGGCAACTGGTAGGCAGTCTCAGCCAATAAAGTTGACAGGGCATTCGAAGCCACGAAGCAGGTTTGGCATGTCATTCTATTTGTCTAGTCGGGTGGTAGATCCGAAAATAGATGGAAATAGACAGCTTGAAGTTTCGAGTGCTTCGTCCCCCCCAAGGCAATATTGCAAGATGGAAGCCCCGTGAACACCTTGTCAGGCAAATGCGGACAACATTCAGTAGGTACCAGCAAATGGCATATTTTTGGGCGGCGCTTGTCAGAGTTGGAACTCAATGCGCACGGGGTTTTGGTTCAAAGGACTGCGGCCTACAACCTAATAGCGCACACACACAGATCAATCCATCCCCCTGCAAGCACATGAGTGGAACACCCTCATTGGGCAGATCCCGGATCGAATCATATCGCCTACAGCAGACGGCACCCACCCATGGAAAGCCAACATCGATCGCTGCACTGGAGTGCCTAAACATGGTTCTGGCGATGTCTTTGGTTCTGGCGAGATTGGATCTTGTGACCTTTCAATCAGAACACAAAATTCCCTAAACGCAATTGGTTTGTTGCTCTTTCGTCATCTTTTTCTTGACCGTCCTTTGTCTCTCTCTAGAGACTCAGTGTTCGAGACTCAACTGATCTCGACACAGGTTGCAGGTATCAGTTCTGCTGCCTACGTGTATCTATAAACTCATATCCGGTCAAAGAGTGCGTATGAGAGACTATGATTCGTGTACTTGCTATGGTCCCTTTTGCAACTATGTACAACAAGGATCCAGCCTTTGCACAGGTTCTGCACCAAAAGTTGTTTTCTTGTGTGTGTGTGTTTGAAAAGCAGGGTTTCTGTTGTCCCATGCATGTACAACAACCTGCCACTGACTAAGGATAGTGAAGGGAGCGACAGTGATTGATGCTTTCCAGATGTAGTCTCACCCCTCAACTGCCTTGCTGCAAAGCTTTAGAGCTTTGAAGTTTTGTCACGGCTTTCAAGGAAAATGCAAACGCCTTTTTATGATAGGTTTGAACGGATGTTTTCCTGTTGCTGTGGCAGCTTGTGGGATTGTCTTCCGTCCAGATATCCCCATCAGTTCCTGTAAAAGACAACCAGTGTTCATGGTTCAGCTGGACGGCATGGGAATGGATAGTGTCAAGGAACAGACGCTTTTCCTCACCGTAGATGGCAAAAACGATTGGAGTGTGGTCGTTACTACTAGGGTGGAGGCCATCGCTAGTAGGTTGGAGGCCATCGCATTGAAAGACACCTCTGAAAATCCATGTATTGCTTCCAAGTGCAATCGGCCCCTTTTGCCATCTGCTTTAGTAGCGCCTGGCGAAGATGTTGAAGTTGCGTAGCAGATGGATTTTCCAAACTGTGGCAGTAGCTTGGCATGGCCCAGGCTTTGTTCATTCTGCAGTCCTGAAGGCGCCAGTGCGAAAAAGTTGCGCAGTTTAAATTGGACAGCAGAAAATAAAGATGCCAGTGAATGGGTTGTTCCTTTCCTATGCGGAAAGCCTATTCTCTTTGAAGACCATTGCTGTGCCACTGGCTTCATGATTGGGCCTTTTTTCCTCCTTTGCTGCGTTTTAGTGTGCAAACATGTTTTAAATCGCCTTTTTTTTGAACGAGTTCTTTGCCGCGCTTCCCGCAGCATCACTACGGGCGCGGTGGATATCTACACATTAGTGATGTATTCCAGGCACGAACGACTGGGCAAATCTCACAGAATCAGGTGCACCTCGCATCTTACAGTCGCACATGTAGGTTGTTCATGGGACACCTCTTCGCAGCAATCATAACCCATAAGGAGTACAAGGCCTTGGCGCAGCAAGGGCGATGGAGGTCACTACTCTTCAATGATGTCTTGGGACTATGAACCTAGTTACTAGTTTGCACCACACCACAGAAAACCATATTCCTACCTATGCCACAATATATAATTCAGAAATACATTGAGCGGTGCCAAAAACCTTTGGAAGAAATTGATGAGCAGCAGATGGTTGGGCCACTGCATAACAACACCCATCGAAGCAGCCTCATTTTAAGATGCACTGTGGACTTATTCCCACCCAAGAATGAGCAGGGCCAAAAAGACCAAAGCCTGAGCCTTGCAAGCCTTGCCAAGATTCATCAACACGCCGTGGGAGGTGGCTGGACAATGTGGGAAGGGAACTGGCCAAAGAAGAAATGAAGGTGTTGGCAGCACTGCAGGGCAAAAATGGCAAGGTAGGGAGGCAAGCTGATCCCATCAACAAGGTCATCCTTTTGTACAGGCTCAGGAAGAAGCTTGACACAAGGAAGGTGGCTGTCACCGGCAGTATCTTCATTGGTGAGGTATGAGTCCGTTGATTGCCCCTTGCACCGCCAAGCTTTGAGGGACTTTGCCAAGAGGGAAGATGCTACGAGACGAACGGAGCAAGGACGCTACTAGTTACTAGTAGCTCCTGGCCATACTACTAGAAGCAAGGACGCTACTAGT